TTCACAAGCATTGACATTCACGCAAATAAAATATTATTGACTATTATTAATATTAATTTGAATTTCAACAATCGTAGGATTGTCAGTTAAGGATAAAAGATATGTATTTTTTATTGGTGATGCAACGATACTATGAATTGAACCAAGACCAAATTGAAATAGTTGAGAATTATGCTAGAAAATAATAGAAGAAATAAAAATATTATTTTTTGTTTGACTTTTTACTTCATTATCATTTTGAAATAAACGAAGTTGACCATCTTTACCACAGCATAGAACAAGATTTGATGAAAGATTAATTGCTGATATATGAGTATCAATTGTAGATTTATCTATACAAAATATTAGTTTAAATTAAGCGCGTAATACAACAGAACATACCTAATACATTGCACATTATTGGATGTACAATTCGATCCCATTCAATATTATGAAGTTTTTTTGCTCTATTAATTTCAAATGATGGTAATGTCCCTATAATTATATTTATATAAAATCTTGAAATAATTCATATTTATACTTACAAATATTATAATCATTATCAGTATAAATAGCGAGAAGATATTTCGTATCAACTGACCATATAACACTATTTACAGCTGCTGTATCATTCTAAAAGAATTAATTAAAATAGATTTTAAAAAAACATCGAAATTATTACTTGAAGTATTCCGTCAGTACGAAGATGAAAATCTCCATTACCTATGACATCAAATATACAAACATTTCCATTATGTAATCCAACAGCTAGATTTAAACCATCAGGAGAAAATCGAACGGATTTAACACCTGTATTAAATTTTAATGTTATCGTTGTTATATAAAATGATGATAAAGTATCATAAATTATTAATTTGCTTATTTCCGTTCCAAGAACTATAATATTTCGTTGAGGATGTAAATCAGCACAAGATATTGGTTGCTATAAATATAAACATTATTAATATTCGAAAATTTATAACAAAATTTACTGTAGATTTTGTTGACCATTCAACAGATTTTGTTCTATCATTCCATTTAAATAAATGTCGATCAGAACTTATAGAAAAGAAATAATGACTATCGTTATCACAACATATACATGTTGTTGGACTTGTATGTCCCTAAATAAACCAACTATTATTTAGATTAATATTTGTATATAAAACAGACTCGCATGATAATATTAAATTGTTCGTTTCCAATTTCTTTTAAAATGATATAATTTAGTTTTGTTCCTATAGCTAATGTAACTGAATTTGATGCTCGTCGAATACGACAAACCGATTGAATTGAACCCATATTTTCATTTAACTATCATAAAAGAAAATTATTTGTAAGAACAAAAAAACAGAAAATCTACTTGTATTTGTTCAGTAGTATCTGATTTAACATTCCAAAATTTGATTTGATTTTGTTTGTTAGCAAGAAGAAATGTTTCGTGATTGATTGATATAATTATCTCAACATCATTCTAATATTTCAAAAAAAAAATTCATATATTATAAATAAAAATCATTAAAGTACTTCTACGAGACATTCTTGAACAACAACTAATTTTGGTTCATTATCAATTAAACTCCAAACATAAATATTACCAACTTCATCGCCAACAAGTAATCGTTCTCCTCGAATATCGCATGCTGCCGCTCCAGTATAAATATTCTAATATTTAAAAATTTATTCAATAATTTTAATATTTATTGAAATATGTCTTACTTGAACTTCGGATTCTCGTCGTTCTAACATACGTAATGGTCTTAAACTCCAATTGACATGATAGAAAAGTAAATGTCGTTGACTAATACATGCAATCCATTCTGTTGTATCGAATACAAATAATACCGAAAGTATATTATCAGATTTACACTAAATAAGACAATCGTTTCGAATTATTTGACTATCGTTTTAATACTTACTGTAATACTATAGATCAATTCATTTCGTTTCCAATCAATGAATAAAATAATCTTAGGTTTATCTCGTGAAATAATCAATAGTAAATTATCATCTGGTTTTGGTGAGAATGATAATAAAGATATAAAAGAGCCAAATTGTTCTTTATGTATTTCACGTATTGTTTCAAGTTTAACGTGATCCCAAATATGTACTAAAGCTCGTTGATTATTTTTCACTGAACTTATTTCACTTGACGCGACTAATGATTGAGATTGATGAATATTAACACTAATAAAATTTGAAGAAAAAAATAAATATCTATTGATTAATATTTAAAATCATTCTTACGAAGTTATTGAGGAATTATGTTTTGTATAATAACGTTGTTGTTTTAAATTTGTTTCGTATAAAATACAAATTGAATCAATAACATAAAGTATTTCATTTTCCGGAAGTGTATAAAGTTTTTTTGTTAATTCATTTTCACCATTATAACCATGACTAAATATATCATTCAATCGTAAAAATAAATATATAGATTTTTAACTTACATCCAACTTATTGATAATTTTACATCGTCGATAGCTAGAAATAAATAAAACAATATGTATTCGATCGTTAATTGAAATGAATACCTCGTTTCGAAGGATATTGTTGCTTAGGTTTGTTATTTGTTGATTTACGATCCTTAAATAATTCATTTGGTTTAATAATTTCAAAATAATTTTTCGCATGTGTATATTCATCTTGTGTACACGCGATAAATGTATCTGTTGTTTTCATAATATTAAATAATTTAGAAAAACTTTTAACTTCTATAAATGTGGAATTTAATACAGCAAATAAATTTGTTATATTTTCATTATTTGTATAATGAGAAAGTAAATCAGTGATATGATCTTGTAACCATTCATCGAATGTTTGTGTTATATTTCGATTAAGTATTAAACTTTCATACATATTTAATTTTGAATAAGGTAAGAGATAAATTTGTTCACTAGTTAATGTTGATAATGATGATGATGGTTGTGGTGAACGCCAACGTGGATTAACTGATGATCGGGCATTCCAATAAAGAGATGAACCTTGTTGAGGATGTAGATTTAGACTTGTTTGGAAATCATCAATGAATGCATGATCAATCCAATGATAATTTGTTCGAAAAAATCCTCCCGTTGAAACAACATATGAATGATGATGTTGAAATTGACTAATTGAATGAATTTCTTCACCTATTAATGAATAAATATGATTTATACCACCAGTTGATAAAACAAGTTTAGGTTGACGATTGAGATAATTAAGAAATGCTTCCCATGATTTTAATACAAATTCATTCACAGCTATTTTAAGACCACGATGATATGCATCACCAATACGAAAAAAATTAACTAATACACCGTGAATTGCACGTTGAGTTATTGATGGTATAACAGCAGCTGGTCGAGCTATGAATAGATAGATATGCTTTAGTAAAAATATTATTAGATATAAAACTTTTATTTACGTGTAGTGATTGATGAATTCCATTTAAGTGCTGGTGATTTTCCATTTTTTATCATTGGTGATGGAGTTTTATGTGAATATTGAATTTTTGGGATTGGTTCTGTTCGATTTGTTATCGGTATATTTTTTCTTTCATGTTGTGGTGTTCGTGGTTCTTCTTCTTCATCATCAATAACTAATACTGATGTATGTTCCTCAGAACTACTTCGTTTTATAATACTGTCTGCCGAAGAACTTCGTTTTAATAAATGTTGTCGATGTTGAACATGATTTTTGTTAGTATCAGGTGGATTATTAGTAATGGGAAACATTTCTGAAGGGCTAGTTTGTTGAGCACGATTACTAGTAATAATTACTAAAGGTGAAACTGAATTACTTCTTGATTCTTGTGCATCATCTTCTAATAAAATAAAGTGGCAAAATATATTAGAAAAACAAAGTAATAATAGATTTTATACTTTCGGTAAAAAATCTTAATGCTGAATCTTTTATTGCAGAAAAATCTAAAGCAGGTAATGATGGATTTGTGTGTTTGGATTTTGAAATTGGTTGTTGCTGTTGTTGAACAGGAATCGATTTTATTAAAGAGTATGCATGATCGTTATTAATATCATCATCATCCTATGAGAAATATTTCATCAATATTAGACATGCACCAGTTCTCTAAGTCACTATCGATCAGACTATATAACGCTATTGTTAAACTTTGAAAAACAAGACGGGAAGTAAAAAGGACTAGGGGTAATCGGTAAAGAAACCAAAAATTTCTAATTTTTTTACTGCCCGTCTAATTCTTTAAAGTTTAACAATAGCGTTATACAGTCTGATCGATAGTGAGTTTAAATGACTTAAAGGACTGGGTGTTTTATATAGCAAAAATTATTCATGTTCGTCTTCCACTTTATAGGACTGGTGGACAACTAATCAATATGTTTTGTGTATCTTAGAAACTAAGTAAACTAACGATGTCGAGCGTCGTTTTTTTTCTTATAAAATTCAATATACTTTATTTGATTAGGAAAAGAAAAAAAATAGAAATGATTTTACCAAAAATTCTGAATATGACATAGAGACACAGAAACATGTTTGTTTAGTTTGTTAACTACAGTGTTTTGTTTTTAAAATTAAAATCATACTTGATCAAAGTCTGCATAACTCGAAATAGGACTTAAATGTCTTGAAGTTTTAGTATTAAATGAATTAATACCATTTGAATTTGATAACATGTTTGTAATATAAAAGAATAGGAATGTATGAGAAATGAATTTGATGAATATAACAAATTCTTATGATGACATAAAATCTATTTAATAATTGAATTTCTCTCTCTCTTTGTTTTTTTTTCCCCAGGTTTCTATTCATCTGGTGACTAAGAAACTAGTAATTATAATATATATACTTGAATTCAATCATCAAATGATTCTTTCTTTCTTTTTGTTTCATCAAAAATCGAATCGGACAATGTATTTTTTCATCATTAAAAATTTGTGCATGCGTGTTAAGATTGAATCGCTGAAAAATATTTTATTTAATTGTAAAATAAAATAAAATTAAGAGTAGTTTTTTATGATAAGAATAGATCAATTATTGAAAAAAAAAAGTTTTTATGAAATATATTAAGTTTCAAGATCGAATGATTCAGCCATATCTTTTGAACCATCAACTATCCACCAGAAATTCATATTAGCACGTTCAAGTGCCCAAAAACGTGCATCAACATTTGTATTCACACCTGGTGTTGATGCAAGAAAATCAATTAACTAAATATTATAATCACAAAAATATGAATATATACAAAATTATTTATAAATTTTACTTCAACTTCATGAAATTCATCTTCAAATGTGGCGGTTATATCCATAAGTAATTGTCCTAATCGTTGATTTGTACGTCCATAACTACGAAAAATAGAAAACATCTAATAATATAAATAAAAACTAAGTACATACGTAGTTTGAAGTTCTGCCCAATGTTTTCGATAATATAACCAAACTAATTCACGACCTATTAAGTAATAAAAATGTAACAAAAAAAAGTATAAAATTTTTTTTTCTATATTCTCACCAACAGGATTTTTTGCAAGTAATGTTAAAACTTGTAATAGATCAACATCAGTATCTTTATTTGGTTCTGCATCTCGGTATAATAATCTGAGATATTAAAGAACAGTTGAATATAAAATCTTTTTTTTGTGTGTTATCTTACTGATATAAATGCCATGGCTGACGTGATTGTGTCATAGCTTCAAGTAAACGATATCGTTCTTGTACATCAACAAAATTATGATAATCGCTTTCAATTGTTATCCATTCACTATCGTTATATGTATTTTGAAAATGTGTTCGATAGACAACTTCACGAGCATGATCAACAATTCTACAATCATAAATTTCATTAACACATCAATATATAATTAAAAAATACGAACGAATGATCAGCTTCTCCATTCACTAGAGAAGGATATGCGTCATTCCATAATACAGTTGCTTTATCAATACATTCAGGTAATTGTAATCGACATGCAAGTTGAATAATTGTATTTTTTAGAATTCTAAAAAAAGAAAACAAAGGAATATATAAATAACAAACGAATAATATTTGTTTTACTGTTCAGAGAATGTTCCATCATCATTCCATAAAGTTGTTTCAAATGTTGTATAATATCTTCGAACAACAAGTCGGAAATATTTCTAAAGAAAAATTAACTTTAATTATTATTTTTCAAAAATAGTTGATTCTTACTTGAACAACACCATATAATGATTCATATTCAAGTACATCTAACATACGATTAACATGATATGATAATGCTTGCCATGATAGTATACCTTTATATGCATCTCGATATAAAAATTGAGTAACTCCTCGAACAATTCTATAACTTTCTTCATTTGATTGTGCACTTAAAAATGCATTATTGAGTAAATTAGCTCGATCAATTTCCAATAAACCCGGATTATTATTATCTAAAGCTGCTGATAATTCTCCCCAATTATCACTTGTATAATCCATAATATAATATCCAGCAAAATCAGTATTACAATAAAAATATTGATAATTAAGAGTACCAAATGGAAAATCCATTCTAGCACTATCAAGATAGAATGTACGAGTGAAATTTAATTCATTTGATGTAGTACCAAATTTACATGTTATTGGAATGTACCATGTATAACCAAATGGAGTGACACTAGCTGGATAAAGATCATATTCATACATATGTGCACTTAAAAA